GGCGATAACGGAGCGAGATAACAAGGAGTACCTACGTGTACTCATGTTGAACGTTGCGACCGAACTGGTTTTATAATATAAAATGTAAAAATTGTTCATTCAATGGGTTTAATCTCTAGAACTATTTAAATGAATTTAAAATTTTAATAAAAATTTTTTACATCAGAATGTAACACAATCCCATGAATCTATAGTCTATATTTTATCTTGATAAGTTGCCCTTAATTTTTGTTATTGAAAATTTAAGTTTTTTTATAGAAATAAAAATAATATTTAATATATTTTTGTGTTACTGGTTGCTATTGATTWTACATTAGAGTATGGAAGAATAAGAAATTATCAATTTGTTATTAAGTATCAAATTTAAAAAATKTTCACCTTTACTTTTTAGTAAAAAATGCTATAAAAAATTATGATTGAATATACTTTTAGTCCTGTATATATAAAATCTTTTATGGATATTGAGATAGGTTAAATCCAAGGAAATTTGTCAGGAGAAGTTTTAATCATGACTTGCTGGGTATAAATAAAAAATTAAACAAAAATTTTGAATCATATATAGTCAGTATTTTAATAGGTAACGAAGTGCATGGTTAGCAGCTAGTTATATTAGTTATATGTATACACTATACAGTTATAACATATCACTGAATTATTGTTAGCAAATATGCGTGTACATCTACAAAATGATGCGTCAGCTGATGTTTTCACAAAACAATTGTTGGAAATAGGAAACTAATGATCAATGAATCAACATAATGTATTACATTGCCAAATAATTTCTCTAAAATTACAATAACCACAAAAKAGTTAATTGATAAAGTTTTTTTAAATCTAACACAAAATTACAGAAATTGTGGCATAGAGCACGGGCCATATTGGCAGCCAAAAACTATGATGTAAATACAATCAATATCAATATTCTAAACAAAATTCCAGGCAACACTACAACATACCAGTCCATCATTACCGTAATGAATCAAGACGAAGTTTTCAAATATCCAACTGAATTCTTAAATTCATTGATTTATCGGGCACGCTACAGCACGTTCTAACATTAAAATTGGACGTGCCCATCATTATTCTACGAAACATAAATCTACCACGACTCTGTAAAGGTACCAGGCTTTCCGTGAAAATGTTGATAAACCATATCATCGAAACTACAATTTTAAACGAAAAGTTTAAAAGCATTCCAATTTCAATTGGTGGGCCGATTGCCACAAAATTTGGTATAGAGATATATTAAACCCATTTCTAGAAGGTAATCTAAGTTAAAAAGTAATACAACCAAATATCATTCAATTGAATATTTTAATTGTCAGACTTTTATCAATAAAACGAATAAAATTACATAATGATAACCCAAAATTGAACATGGTGGTACGTTTATTACTTAGTATATTTTAACTGTTATCTATCTATATTTATAAAAATATACTGCAAGCATAATCACAGGAAACAAATTTAACACACAGTTTGAGACATATTAAAGRTAGGATTTTTAACAGGTTATGAAATTAACGGGTTCAGATAATTATAAATAAAAATGAAACACCGTATGTATAAATAATATCACTTGAGAATGAATCAACCGAATTGATTTTTTTTTGTGTGTCCGTAATTATTAGGACAGAGCTTGTATAAAATACAGTTTTAAGAAAATTCTTTAAAAAACGTCGGAAATCTGTCTAATAAATTTACAACAATTTCGTAATCTGTCAAGCAAAATTATAGTTAAATATACAGGATATTAACACCTTTACTTAATTTTCAAAAAATTACAAGATTTATGAATTTTAAATCATGTATTTATTTTGAATGTAATTTTAATAATAGATTGTACCAATAGATAAAAAGGCTCACATACCTGATGGCGAAACAAACCACCTAAAAATAAATGGTTTCGATCTGGTGCATCACATTGGCCATAATAAACACAATGTAAGCAACATATGTAAGCCAAAACAAATCGTTCTTAGACATTGAACAAGTGGCCGGTAACGAACATACGGTTGGTATCCACATTGGTAACCTATCCATCTTCAACGTTTACAAACCCCCACCCAGCAATTGGACTGCCACAGTTTTGCCAGTCAATGAACATCCTGTAATATATATCGAAGATTTTAACTCTCACAATACTGAGTGGGGATACTCCACCGACAATGAAGAAGATGAAAAACATTCGGACTGGGCAGCTATTAATCACCTTAAACTGATTTACGATGCCAAACAAGGAGACATTTTAAATCTGGTAGATGGGGTACGACAACTTCGCCAGAACTTTGTTTCATGTAGGAGGACTCTAATGGACTACCTCTAACCGTAAACAGAGAATATGATATGGTATTGATAATACCATGAAACTCAGAGAGTGTCTTAAGCTTAATATTTAACCCACAGAGGTTGATAATATAGTCTGTGCGCAAGTGCATGCCATCGGGCGCGTCCCCAGGTTGCGGATAGGGGAATGTCCAACAGATATGTTGGAAAGCTGTGAAATAAGCCATACTTTCTGGTTGGATGAATAAGCAGTCGTGGACAAGCTCACCACTGGGGAGCCGGTCGACCCCCAATGTCCCGGRAKGTTTGTAGCACGGACTGGAAATCAGATAGACYAMGTGAGGCTRGTGTCGTCAGTGGAGGCCAAGTCAACRAACCAAAATAATATGATGAATACACCAAGCACTGTAAAAGTTACTGTTTTAGGGAAATCGGATATCCCAGAGCCAGCATTTGGGGGTGACTCACCCCAAGGGTCGAAATAAAGAAGCCAGATCCCAGCGGAGGGGGTGCTCAGCACATCCCTTCAATGGTAAAACTACTGCTGAGACAAATGTGCCTTCGGGCACACACCGGAAAACAGGACTTATTGGAGACAAGGAACTAAGACGCTGAAAGAATCGGCTAGTTTCTCTGGAAGTGCGTGGCTACTCAAGATGGAGGCTACAAGTTATTGGTCCAAAAGGCAACGGCCTTAGAGCATTGAGCTTTAAGGTCAGGAGCCCGGAAGTTTAAATCACCATCGAGGAGGTGATTGGTGGGCTCAAGGGGAGTCGTAACGAGGTGCACCAATCGTTCAATCCCATGTATCAGCTGGTCTCGAAGGATGAACAACTCTAGGGCGTACCTAACCCAGCGAAAGTAGTCTAAAATTCCAACTCAGAGACGCAAACGACTAGCGTAGTGGCTGCATCAGTCCTGGCAGCAAGTACGAGCCCACGAACACATAAGCTTAAGGAGTCTTTGGTGGAAGACATAMATGCTACATMAATTGACATAGGAACAGACACTACTTGCTGGTGAGGTGAGGTTCAAATCCCAGTCCCTTAGACAGAACCAACAAGGACGATAAAACTAGGAAAACAAGCATCAAGCAACCATCAACAGCTGAAACTTCGAGTGTGAATGTAGAGAATTGACTAACATCTGTGCGAGACTCTGAGATCCAGGATTCAGGCTTCACAATAGATCTGACTAGAAAACAAAAGAAGAAGGCTAGGGCTGATAAGTGACCTGTCAACTTAGAACCTCCTAAGCCTCCCGACAGAAGCAAGCGTAGAAAAAAAGTCTATCAAAGACTCAGACAGTAGTCATTGATAAACCCATTGGTAGGTGGTTAGGTTAGGTAACCTACCCACAATGATATAGGTACGCGGATATGGCGAAGAAGATTAAGGTAAGTGTCTCTGCTTTTTGATATAACGACGATTGGTAGATGAGTTGGCATTTTTACCAATAAATGACGTACCAAGAGGGTTAATTAATTTAAAATCAAATATGCCACAAGAAGCTAATGAGTTGATGAAGTATTTTAATTCAACYTACATAGGGGGGATAATTATAAATAATAATACCAGAAGTAACATTATTAGAAGAAACTCTGCTGAATTTCTTCCTTCAGCTTGGAATGTTCACGAAGTTACGTTAAACGATGGCCAGCGCACTAACAACCAAACTGAAGGACGGAATCAAAGATCTTCTAAATTAGTAAATCTTTCACATCCAAGCATATGGTTAATCATAGAAAAGATGCCATTAGAATTAGGAGTCAAATTGAAGTGCAGGAGAAGTGAAAATTGGGAAAAGAGATATCGAACAACCTCCGGCAAAAAAAAAATGTTTATATTTTTCCTGACATGTGGAAAATTGGTTCTATTACTCCCATTTTAAAATCAGGTTGCCGTTCGTTAGTCACTAAYTACAGACCAATTTCTATTTTAGGGCATATTTCTAAACTCTTTGAGTCATTAGTCTTAGACGCAATTCAGCCTTCAGTAAATTTGATCTTAGCCAATGAACGCRTGGTTTCCGTCCAGGCAGATCAACGGTTACTTGTAACCTTGTTTTCTGCAATTACATATTCGGATCTTTTAAAAATGGAACACAGGAAGATGTCATATATACCAACTTTKCTAAGGCGTTTGACTCCGTTAACCATGAGGTTCTAGTCTCTGTTCTTCGTGCTACTGGATTTGGGGATCCTATCCTATCTTGGTTAAATTTATTTTTAGTAAATAGATCTCAATGGGTTTATTTGTTCAACACTAAATCTGACACATTTTTATCTCACTCAGGCGTTCCTCAGGGGGGTCATCTATCACCTCTTCTATTCTCTTTGTTTGTTAACAGTGCTAGCTCCTCTCTCAAACATAGCAAACTTATTTCTTTTGCCGACGATATGAAGATTTTCTCCGAAATTAACTCTGTCGATGATTGTCTAAAACTCCAAGATGATTTAAATAGTTTCTCCGCATGGGCTTAATCTCTCGGTCTGACATTAAATATTGAAAAGTGCCGGTCAATGACATTCACAAGAGGTCACTCTCCTATTACTCATCTTTACTCGTTGAATGGCTCTAATTTGATTCCAGCTGACTCTAGCATCWGTGATCTCGGTTTTACTTTTACTCCCTCTCTTTTTCCTAGAGCTCACATAGACAGAGTTACATGCAAAGCTCTTAAGGTATTGGGATTCGTCAAAAGAATATCTAGTGACTTTAAGCTCTCCGCATACCTCAAAGCAATATATTGTGCACTTGTACGTCCAATCGTAGAATACGGCTCAGTTGTATGGGATCCCCAATCAACTTATGCTTGTCTTCAACTAGAATGGGTTCAGTGAAAATTTTTATGTTACATGAAACATTCTCTTAACGTAAACTGCACCCCTCGCGATTACACTCCTCTTCTCAGTTTGCTTAACTTATCCTCCCTAGCTGACCTTCGTCGCTCCAATAATCTCTYTTTAATTAACAAACTCCTAACAKGCTTGGTTGATTCCCCATCCCTTCTTTCTCTCATTTACTTTAGAGTTCCTATTATGTCCACCCGCAATAATCATCCTTTCTTAATACCCTTCTGCACTGCAAACTTTTTTAAAAATGAACCTATTACGAGATTAACGAAATTAGCTAATGAGGAYCCGTTGTTCCTTTCATAGTTTTCTTTTTGTATTCATTGTTTAGTTTAATTTTATATTTTATACTTTGTAATATAATTCATGTTATGTTATTTTATGATTGTATTGTACACCTAATTATTTTAACCTGGGCTCACGCCTGTTTATTCAATAAATAAATAAATAAATATGCAAGAAAAATTTATAAAAATATGCGAAGAGTACAATAATAATGAAAGAAGTATTGAAAACTTTTTAAAATGTATATCATTGACATWAATAAACTTTAATTAGGTARTGTGTGTTTGTGTAAATTATCTGATTTTTTGGACATTTTTTTAGCAATTTATTTTTTTTTAATACTATTATAATCATGTTGTGAATACACATTTAKTTAGCAGGCTATTTTGGAAAATGTTACCATGGATTTTTTTGAGTTTAGACAATTTTACCATGGACATTTTTGATTTTAGACAATTATACCTTGGACATTTTTGGTTTGGACAATTTTATGTCCTAAATTTTTTTCGGGACCTTTTTACCGTGCATTTCTTTCTCAGACATTTTCACTTAAATTTGATTAGAAACCCCCAATTGTCTGTAAGCATCGCGACTAGCGATGGTTGTTTTTATATTTTGTTAATTATCTAAATGTTGTTGATATTTTGTGTTAATAAACGATGTGAACAGGGAGGCAGAAATGGGAACCCATATTTTCCTCCCTGTTCACGATCACGATTCCATACAGAAAAAAAAAAGAAAAAAGCAGGTTGATAATATAGGCAACTTATGAAGATCAAATCATTTTTTGTTTGTATGTAAGGTCGCCATTGGTTACAGAACAAACTAGCGRAGTTATTTTCTAAATTTAAAAAAAATGATATTTCATTTACTGTTTGAGATTCTGAATTTGACTTTATTTTACAATGTTTTTTTTATGCCTGTCATCACGTCGTTTTAGAATAGAAATAATACTTTTATTTTTATTTTTAGCCCCTCTATGAATAGGGAAATTCATCTAGTTAGTAGTACACYTTGAAGGGGGGGGAGTAAAAAATGTTCAGTAGTTTTCAAAATCGTCAGAAAAAAAACCCTGAAAAGTAACGAAAAAACGGGATTTTTCACGCATGATCAGTTTTCGACAAAATTGATTTTATAATTTTCTGTAGACCCAAGAACGAAATTGTAATTAGATGAAATTTTTATATTAGCGTTATCTATTTACAATTCAATTTTCTAAATATTTTGACTATCTGTACCCTATTTATAGATAATTGAAATTTTATAAGTTTTTTTTATTGAAATGCCGATAAAAAATGTTTGTGTACAAAAATCTTTAAAATTTAATACAAGGTTTATTATAAGTTGTACTTATCGTAGTAAAAAAAATCAAAATTTGTAATTAACAATTTTTGTTTATAAGCATGTAAAATTCAAATGYTTACGAAATATGTCAAAATTGCGAAAATTTATATGGGATTATGAAGTTGAGAATTTATAAAATTGTTGTGATTTATACCTAAGGTTAAAAAACCCAACGCAAGGTTCTCCATAACTTTTTCTTCAAATAAATATTTAAAAAAAAAACTCTAGGGTCAATGTAGAAAAAATTTTTTGAGCGTATAAAAATATATTATAATGTAAATATAAGTAATATAATATATCCTAAATTAACAAATCATCTCCGTTCAGAATCGTTTTTCATATAAAATCATTGCATTCAAATTTAATACATTCATTATGGTGACCTACTATACAGCAGAGCGATACCCACTTGCCAATTTATTTTTTATTCAAACGTACAATAACATGCAATGTATCAATAAAAGTTATATTTGTAGCTTTTAGAGTCAACAGTCAACACATTTATACCAACATTGATGAACATTTCAGGTATTGTTCATAGAGATATCAGGAAATTTCAGAKTAGTTTTAACATGTAGCTTCGAAAATATACTAAGTGCCATATCCCCAATCCTATCCACCACATACCAATATTGCCAATAACAGTTAAATTAAATGTAAGGAGAGATGTGTTTTAGAGCTAAGTAGGTTTACTCATACCAATTTTCCCGTGAACTGAAGTACAATATAATAGATACGTTGATTTAGCGCAGTATTTTATGTTCGTTCATTTTTTTTTTGAGCGAAAACGGAATTCACAAGTATAACTAAGAATATATTTATGAAAGCTRAAGGTTCGCGTACATTTTAATAAATATACTACATATGTGATCATCCAGCGCAGTAACGATGTTTAGAAAAAGAAGAATTATTAGAAACGCATTATGGATTATGAAAAACAAAGTATTATTACTTTTTTTACTTACGATCAGATTTTGGTAATAATTGGGTGGTATTCGATTTGAGCGAATCTGCATTAGTAACTCGATGAAGGAATCCAATGTTATTTTGAATGAATTTGTTCAAATCTATTGGTGATCTGCGATTTTTGTAACGATAACTTCTGCCTATAAAGTTAGATTCAATTGTTTCTTTTGTATCTTGCTCTCTGATTGATATTTCATCACGAGCGTAGTGTATTTTTTCACCTACGTTCGTAGCTGATTTAGCACTTTCAGTAGAAATATTAGGATTCAACTCTACTCCGACACAGGATTCACCGTAAACAGTTTCTACTGAATTAATTATTTCATTTTGATTAATTTCATTTAATTCAGTTATGTTTTTTATACGTATCTTGTCTGTATTAAAATTTTCAAGTACATATATTCCATCCGTCCCATTTTTTAATTCATCATCAGTTTCATCTTCAAAATAAACCCGTTTTATCCATATATTTGAGTTATTTGTTTGTTTATTGCTGATTTTGTCACTATTTATTTCCAAACTAGAATTAGTATTTTTGAATTCAGAAACGATGTGTGAGACATCGAAATAAGTTTTATTTAAATTTGTATTTGTATAAGTTTCAGAATGCTTAGAGTTTCCTTTAAATTTATCATATTTATTCGATTTGTATTCATGTGATTTTTTCTCTGACCTCTGACGTTGATCAACAACAGAATGATCTTCATTTAGTATTATGTTTTCAATATTGGTTTCATTTTTATTTTTTCTAAGTTTTTTTKGATTTTTTGAATGCTTGTCTTCATTTGCCATAGATATTATTTTTGTGTCTTTTAACTTTGTAGTAAACATTCCACTGTCGACATTTTTATTAACCTTTGCATCATCTGTATCATTATTAGTTAAATCAATGGTTTCTATTGATTGTCCTGAGAGTGTTTTAATATTTTGATATATTTCAATTAATCCACAAATATTATCAACATTATTGTGCTTATTATCAAATTTGTAATTGTCAACGGTTAAAATGCTTTCTTTAGATTTTTCAATGTTGTTTTTTGTTTTATCTTTCAAATTATGTGATTCAATTACTACATCTTTTTCCTTTAAAAGTGTTTTTGTTGTGCATCTCGAATCACTTATATCATCATTTAGATTATCAATTATATTCCCTACAGTTTTTGTTAACTTATTTCGTTCGTCTCCTCTTGATTTCCCGAGTTCCATTTTCTCTTTATGATATTTTTCTGACACATTAGAAGTTCTTCTAGCTTCCATATCGTTTACAATATCCTCATTATCACGCCTTAAATCTATTGCACCAAACATCTTTTCTACATTTTGTTTTTGACATCGTTCAGTATTCAAGTTATTTAAGTAGTTATTTTGGTCTATGTTTGATTCAGCATCCTTGTCGATTCGTGTATTTTCAACACAAGGTTCTTCTCTGTGTCTGATGCTGTCTTCATTAAAGTTATTAATGCTACGTAAATCATTTACAACACTAAATTTGTAACTTGAGTTCATGTTTTTTAATTTCATGTTGATTGTTTTTAAATTCTCGTTCAAATATTGTCCTCTATTGTTATATCTTATTGGTGTTAATCCATCAAAATTATCTAACCTACGTTCAAAAAATTTATTTTTATCGAGTTTCATTAGCCTTGGATCACGTGTTGAGGTATTTGAGAAATCAAATTTGTTTTGTAGAGATTTGCAATATTTTATATCTGATTCACATCGGTATGATGAACTAGGAGAAATTCTACTAGAGTATGGATCATATTCCTGTACATCGGACGTGTTGTTATTATGACCATAATAATTTTGACTAAGTGGTCTGAATGTAGGAGAGTAAGATTGGTGTGCATTTACAATCTTATATCCAGAAAATTGTCCTCTTCCTTGTTCCCCAGGTATMAAATGTTGTAAACTTGTATGGAAATACAATTCATTTCTTATATCTCTTATGTTTGGATTATTACAAGCATTGTCAATGGAAATTGGTCCGAGAGCAGTATTGTTCCTATAATATGATTCAACGACTGGTTCGTAAGATTCTAAATTCAGCGTTAAAGGTGTTTCGTTTAAATCGACGATATTAATTACWGGACCTGGTATTATTTCCAAGCTTTGTTCAGGTGGATTTAATTGGTCTAATACATGTACCACTTCCGTATCACTACTATCTATAGCTTCACCAGTACTTTCTGGCTCGTTGAGTACCCCAATAGRAATGTTTTCTAAAAAATGTTGATTCAAATATACTCCAGTGTAATTTTGTTCATTTGATATGTAAGAAAACTCAGTTAGGTCATAACTTGTTGCAGACCGACTATTGTTTGACATTATACTAAATATTACTATACACCTCGTTACTTAATATCATATGYTGTTTGATAATTCTTTTTTAATAGTTTACTTATCATTTTAAACAAAATATTGTTCTATTCCTTATTGACAATTATGAATAGACCATACTGGATATTGGAAGAACTGAGTAATATTTCAGGAATTTTAGAATTCGTACTTCATTTTTTGTCCATCAGAAATAACTATAAAAAATATATTTGATTTTAAATATGCATGCATTTAGTAGGTACATGTATTTCAAAATATACTAATACATATTAGTCATTGTGCAACCTATGATAATATAATATAATATAATATATATATTTATATATACAGTATGCTCACCCCCATTTTTCGTTTTAATAGTATATTTATTCAAATTCTGACTTTTAGAATCTTTAGGTAGGCTGAAAGTAAATGATTTCAAATGTCTGATAATTTTTATACTACTTGAGAAGTATCCTGTAGTAATACCAACTTCAATTTCATAAGTGAGAACCTTTTTACTGATAAATTATTTAGTGGATAATTTTTTTGAAAATTCTAAGTATTTAAATCAAAGTTTCTTAGTTAGTAAAATGTTTAATACTAGAAATAATAATCCTTAAAAATGGTTTTATAAAATAAAACTGTATGTAATGTTAGATGTGGTATTTATTATACTTGGATCATTTTTACGAATTATTCGAATCCCCTTAACTAAAGATTTAATGATTTTTCAATGACCCCAATGGTAGTTTATTATTATCTATAAACAACAGAACCTCAATAA